ATGTTTGTCTGTATGCATGTATGCATGTGTATATATATAATACTTATGTATTCATTCATTCATTCATCGATTCGTTGATTCATTCATTCATTCATTTATCCATTTATTTATTCATCTATATCTTTATGTGCGTGTGCGCGTCATATATTTGAACTCATGTTCATATTCACATTTATTAATGCGTACATATACATTTGATGTGTATATATGTATATACATACATGCAGAGATATCTTTATGTATTTAGCATTTATATTTACTTATACACACACTCCCTGTCTCTGGCGCGGCATTGGATCCTGTTTGACTCTTCAGGGTTCAAGTGCCGCCGACAGGCACCTCCGTCTTCAGCAGGTCTTGCCCTTGGGAAAGCACCTCAGGCCCCAATCTCCTGTGACACCTATTGCCGAAACCCAACTCCATAGCTCTCTAAGCCCAGGTGTGGTGTGTCGACTTAAGGCTGGATCAGCCAGTGAAAAAGTAAAACGCTAGTGCGGAGGGACAGCTGCCTGCTCTAAGTCAACATCCTCGTCATCGTCCACATGGATGCCCGCAGCTCGCAGCTTTTCCCGAGCCGCCTAAGCTAAGCGACAATCTGGACTCTGCAGCCCAACCCCTCTCACACGCTCGACACAAGCGCCAGCAGGGGCCTCGCTGTAGAGCAGCTGGATGCACTGTTCCTTCGCTTTTCCTTTGCGGGTCATGCCATGCCACATCCCGCCAACAGCTGCCCCGCAATAACATGACATGTTAAGCAACTAGAGGTGGCCTGTGCTTCTTTTGAGAGCAGGACGATCCGAAGTGCCCACAGGGTACCGTTCTCTCTGCGCAGGCCGAGAATGCTGCAGGAAATGTGTTGTTCCCAGAATCGGTCTCTGGACAAGGGGCCCGCTTTCAGGGTTCCCTGTCGTTTTGCAGGACTTGAAGCGTCACACACAACTCCGCAAAAGCCTCACATGTGCCACTCGTGCCACATATCACTTTCACAAAGACTCACGACTAGTAGTAGTAGTAGTAGTAGTAGTAGTAGTAGTAGCAGCAGCAGCAGCAGCAGTAGTAGTGGCAGTAGTAGTAGTAGTAGTAGTAGTAGTAGTCAGTAGTCGTCGTCGTAGTACTAGCATGAGGAGGAGTAGCAGTAGTCGTCGTCGCGGCGGTGGTTTTGTCACCTTGGTACACTTCTCGATTTGTGCGTGTCATCCTTGCGCAGGGGCCATGCTAATCTTCTCTGTATCGTTCCAATTTTATCGGATGATCCCCGAAGGGAATCCGGCAAATCGTGCATCCGCTATGCACACATTGTCCAGGATAAGTGAGAC